GTTCCACTGAAGCATTGAAAAGGTTCTCATGGAATCTGGGGTGTACCCTGTGAAAGCTGGGGACTTTTTCATTGTCCGTAGACCTCTCTATACCTGCTTTACAAAAATTACAATGAAGTAACTATTTTTAAAGCTTATTTTTCAATTCATAAGAAAAAGACATTTATTTTCTGTCAAATTATGTCTCCCTCTTACCCCCTTAATTAATGTTTGCTTGAGTCTTTTTTTTTTTTTTTTAATTCTTTCCCGTACCCACTTCCTGATACTTTGGTTCTCTTTCCTGCTCAGGTCCCTTCATTTGTACTTTGAGGTTTTTCTCATGTAAATTTGTATAATGGAAAATATTGTTCAGTTTGGATAGAAAGCATGGAGAAATAAATAAAAGCTGAAAATCAGATTGAAGAAATTTATTTCTGTGTAAAGTTATTTAAAAACTGTATTATATAAAAGGCAAAAAAAAGTTCTATGTACTTGATGTGAATATGCGAATATTGCTATAATAAAGATTGACTGCATGGAGAAGTCTTCATCGAGATTTTTTTTTTTTTTTAGCACTTACATTCAATAAGAGTAGTAGTCGGTAGTTTTTGACAGTCATTTCTTCCACGCAACAGAAAGACTGAGAAATGAACATTTTGTTTCATACATCCTATTGATTACTGTTTGATGGGTGGAAGTTAAAGTTGTCCAGATTCCTGCCTGGCACATTACACATGCTATTCAGCTTGCAGTGGTAAGTCTTTTGTCAGATGTTGGTGAGTACCCTCAAGTATTTTACAGTGTTGTGACCTTTGTGTCTTTATTTTAAAGTGACTGTCTTCCTCCATGTAGCCACATAGTTCAATTGTATGCTGTAATTTAGCAAATTAAAACAAATTAATCAATAGAAATTTACCTTAGAATTTTGTTTTCAAACTTAAAATCATAAATTTCCTATAGTCAAATTAGCATATATATTTGAAACGATACACTTAACACTTTCAACTTCATTTTTTAAAATGCTGGTTATTCCAGTGAGTTATTTTATGCATCTGATTTCATAACCTGAATAATTTAATAAAAAAAAAAAAGCCTAGAACACCTTCAAACAAAGCACATCAAACTACCAGGTAAACTTTCCACAAGCAAGATAAACAGTTTTAAAACGTCACCTGGAAACCCTATGTCTGAGAGCAGTGTGAAAGGACAGAAAAGTCCCCAAGAGGGCACTAGGTTGAGGAATCTAATTTCTGGTCTTTATGCCCTTCAGGTCCTTCCACCCCTAAATGTTGTCAAGACTTAGTATTTTCTCTCAACTGGTAAATCTATCAATATTTTAGAAACTCATTTTCTAAATGACCACTGGTTCAAAAGTGATTGTAACTTTATCTTTTTTAGTGTATCAAACAAGTTTCCAATAAAATTTGTCCATAGTTTTTGCCAGGTAGTGAAGGGGTAGGGGGGAGAGGGAGGGGGTGGCAGGGGGTGAGGGAGGGGGTGGGGTAAGGGGGGAGAAATGACCCAAACACTGTATGCACATATGAATAAAATAAAAATTTTTTAAAAAGAGAAATAAAGAACTCTACTACACTTGCCCTTCTCAAGTTTTGTTTTACCAGGATCTGTGATCATTGTATCTGTCTGGATATATAATCTCCCAAACTCATAAGACGTTAGTGCAGAAACAGTTCTTGAAGATGACTGGGGCTGGTAGAGTGGTCCAAGTGGTAAGAGCGCCTGCATAGTGAGACCAAGTTCAAAACCCAGTGCCACAAAAAAAAAAAAAATTTAGAATCTGGCCTAAGTCCCCTCATATCATGAAGCCCTGAAGGACGTGCCTTGCCTAGGCCTATGTAGCCAGGACTGAGGATCGGTATGTATATAATTGTGTGCACGGTGTCGTGATCGTAATGGAATCTGAATAGAAATGGTTGTGGACTCCCAATTAGCAGCTAGAAGTGGATGTGTGGGTACTTGCTGGGCATGCTCCATTTGACCTTGCTTTCTTTGCCAATCAGGTAAGCCACTGCTAAGTGCAGGTGACAAGATGCAAAGGCCCATATACTGAGGCACGTCAACACACCAGTGGGGGCAGCTCCCATTTCTTTGACACTGCATGTAAATGTCCCACATAGAATCCTGATGGGGTAGCAGGAAAGGCAATAGTTAATCTTTTCTACAGAATGGCTCCAGGGGCAAGTAGGACCAAGACAACATGTGTTTTCCTCTAACATGCTTATAGCAGGCGTTCCTTATAAAGTACATGTCTTGTCTCACTCTCAAACTTAGAATATACTTTCAGTTATTTAAAAGGAAGAGAAAACAGATAGCATAGACTTATTTTGCTTTGGTTTGCTCTTGATGGGAGAGGTGGCACGGCATCTGTGCAGTGTTTACAGCTTAGTCTATCTCCACATGCAGGCTGGATCTTTCCTATGAAAATCAAACTGGGATTCATTCTTCATAAACTTAGTTTAGACCCAATGGACTAGAAATAATTGCTTCCATTTAGAGAGCTATGCCAAGCATAGTTCTAAGTGCTTTACATGTTAACTCATTTAATCCATTTTTCAAATAAAACAGATTTTTTTTGTGGGCAGGTTGGGTAGGACTGGGGTTTGAACTGTGGATTTCATACTTGCAAACCAGACAGTCTACCACTTGAGCCATGCTTCCAGCCCTAAAACACTTATCAAAATAAGCAATTTGCCCACACTCACAGCAAGTAAATGGCAGACTGAGGGTTAGTCCAGCATATTTTGACTACAGAGCTGAAGCATTTTCAAAACAAGTTGAGATCCACTGGTGGATAGTAAAATCAGCTTAGAAGATCTCAATGGGCCATATTTTAATATAGAATAGAATCAAGAGAGGTAATAAATTATCAGCATGCATCACAGGTAAGTATTGTCTTACAACTTTCGGGTTAATTTTACTTCATACGTAGATTACACACAAGATTAATTTACTGTAAGCTGTCACAAAAGAGGTTAGGCCATGGTGTGCCAAGCACCTAGAGCCAGACACCCAGGATTCCAGCCTCAGCTGCTAACTAGGTACATGACCTTGGTTAATTGCCTGACCCACCCATAGCTCAACTTCTCTAGCTTATGAAATGGGAATGTGAGGATTCAATAAATTAACACGTGAAGCATTTACAAGTGTCTGCCCATATTAAGCTTTCACTGTTATTCCCATTACATTATATTGCCATCAACCAAATATTGTACTTCGTTTCTTTGGGACCCTCTCCCATGTAAGTATTTTCCCATATTCTATACAGCAGGGTGGAGGCCCATTCTTGAGAAGGCTGGGAATAATTTCCTGTATTAGCTTAAATTGGTTTCACAATGCAAGCATGGAAATGAGGACTCCAGTATTTCAAAGAATGGATAATATGCTTAAAATTACCTTAATTCAAGTCAAGCAGCTCTTGATTTCTAAGGGAAAGAACTAATGGGGTTACCCTACTTGACCTCGTATATTATATTCTTTCCCCACCTCCCCCCCAAAAAAAAGCTTTATTGTGAGAACAAAAATGAAAACTAAGAAGTTCAAAAGATTTTTGACAGTCTTTGAAAGTAAAGGCTGAATGTCTGTCAGCTGAGACAGCTCACCTTCACACAGATGAGTAAACGCAAAACCCAGGGAGGCACCCCTTGCAACAAGTGCAGGACTGCTGGAGCCGCAGGGGAGAAAGGAGGCAACTGTTCTACTTGCAGCTTTTGCCGCCATTGTGCCCTCACTGTGACAACCGAAGAGAAGCAAAGGGGAAGTGGAAACCCAAGAACTGGCAATCACGTCACACCGCTGCTTGAAGTCTGTCAGAAGCTGTCCCAGGTATTCAATGTAAAATGGAAACCTGCAGCCATTACTTAGGAATGGCTGGTCCCACTCTAGACCTTGCTCTTTGTTCCTACAGCACTCTTCCTTTAGACACTATTTGTTGGTTTCAGCTCAAATGCCTTCCCTACCCAAAAGAGCAATTTATGCCCCTCACCCATCTCTAGCACATCACCTGCACAAACCTAATGGTGTTTCCTTCATAGCACTTGGTAACACTACGCGACTACTGACTGCCATCTGTTTGCTCTTCCTAAAGTCCAAGTTCTCAGAGAAGAGAATCCTGTGGATCTTTTATTTTTGTGCTTTCTTGGATTATTTGAGACAGGATATTACTATGTAGCCCTGACTGTTCTCAAACTCATTATTACTCTGCCTCAGCTTCCCAAGTGCTGAGATTATAGGCATGATCCACCACACCCAGCTCCTATGTCTTTAGTACTATATTTCCAGTGCCTAAAGTGGTCAAAAACCTTAGTTTTAAAAAATGAACAGATGGCTGACTAGCAAGTGTGAGGCCCTGGGTTCAAACCCCAGTATTGCCAAAGGGAAAAAAAAAGGGAATAGTTGTGCTTCCTGGAAAGCCATCAAACTACTACCCTACAGTAAAGATGTGTGTATGTGAAAAGAGGAAAATTCTGTCCTATCTTCTCTCAGAATTACTGTGATGCAACAGAAAGTTAGAGAGTAACCTGAAACAAATCTTAGGAAAAGTGAATACTGTTTTGTCTTTGTCTCCTATTCCTCAAGGAATGCCTAGTTGGAAGTGACTTAAGAATCTCACGAAAAGCCACTCACTCAGCACAAATGCTCAGCCCACAGGAGATACAGTAACAATAAATAGACTGTACTGACCCCTAACTTCTGTATACTCAGGGCCAGAATCCAGCTGCCATAGCTAAATGACAAGAGTTGGCACACTACCTGTCAACACTGATACGACTACAACTCCAGCAAAGGAGGCAGCAGCAGGACACTGTAGTTAGGTAAGCGCTTTGGAATCAGACCTAGCCTCCACTTAGTGTGTAACTTTATCTCCTTGTTCCTCAGTGGCCTCACTGGTAAAGGGGAACTAACGCCCTTCTGCACCATGATATGGGAGAGGATCAGCTGAAGGACACATAAACCACTTAGCACCACAGGTGCAACAAAGGAAATAAAGGATGTCATCATTATCAGAAACAACAAAACTCATTCTTGGCCAAACCACTTTAATTTACAACTTTTAAAACATGAGGTCCGCAATTTCTTGAAATTCTCACTTGGATCCTGTAGGAAAACAGAAGTGGAAAGCTTTAAGAACTTTTAAATATTCACCAATTAAAGTCCATAATTTATTTTGTTTATGCAATTATTCAAGGATATACTGAGCTCTGATCATGTGAGTAGCCTTATATAGGAGAAGCAAAATCACCCTTCTCTCAAAGGGCCCAGTCATTAAAACAAAATGTTAATGCCTAAGTGTGGGAACACTGGCAGCCACTTTACCATAAGGGCACAGGAAGCTGGTAAGGACTGGGACTCAACTCTCCACAGTGAAAGCTAGAGACGGCTGGTAGACTGGCTCAGGTAAAAAAGTGCCTTAAAAAAAAAAAAAAAAAAAACATAAAAAAGCTGGAGAACAGCCAGCTTACCTGCTTTCTCATCCTCCACCTCCCTACAGACCCAAAAACTGCTAATTTTTATGCCAACAAACCAATTAAGATTGCAATGGCAATACTAACAGTATGACTTAATAGGGACACAACCATTTCATTCTTCCTGTCCTAAAATAATCTTAAGGCATTTGGAATGATGGGCAAGTATTAAGTTGCAATGGTTACTTTAAACACATTAGGGCAGGGCGTGTAGCTCAGTAATAGAGCACTTGCCTAGTATGCTTTTACCATGCTGGATTCCATCCTCAGCATGGTAGAAAAAGAAAACCCACTTGCTAAATTAGAGTGTCTTGGCCCCTGAGGTTCTGTGGGAAAAGGGAATGCCTAGATTCCTCCTTTTGAAAGAAGAAAAACTCTTGACTTCCTGATCTGGAAGTCCATAATCCTTTGTTGTTTAAAGAATTAATTTGAACCAATGAGGACAGCTGCAGCCACAAGCCATAAACTCCCTTCCTGTACACCACTGTATTCCTGGGCCCAGCACAAAACTGCTCTTTTGTTTTTGTGCTGAGGATTGAACCGCAAATTAGTTAATAATTATTGGCTGATTAAGTGTTATTTAATATAAAATAAAAAGGGCATACCTACTTGTAAAGGACTGAGTTTATACTTTCAATCCTCATCATCAGGAAGGATTCCTAGTTCTTCATCTGTCCACTGAGAAGGATCTGGATATGTAAAGTGACCCTGGTGACAATCATTCAAAAAGAAAAAAAGTCAAGAATCTATACTAAATTCAACAGATTAAATTTCAAATTAAAAAAAAAACCACACAAAACAATAATGAAGCTAACTACTACCTTATACACAGCACAGGAACAAATTCCCCCTAAACGATTTGTGCCTTAATTGTTCATTCATCAGCAGGGCGGCTGAATTGCAAGAGCCTCCCCACTTGGGAGGTATCTGCCTATGCCACTGGTGTGTTTGTGATAGCCAGCAGGAAGAAGTGGAGGCAACAGATTTCAAAGATACTCCACATCTTTCCTCTCCCTCTCTCTTTGGTGCTGGGACAGAACCCAGGTCATGTGCTAGGCCATGCTCAACCGCTGAGCTGAATCCCCAACCCCAGATTTCAGTGTCTTCAAGATGTAATTTCCTAGGGGAAAAGAATCTATTCAAATGTGATCAAAGCTCAGCTGAGGTTAATGACATTAGAAAGTCACAAACTTTCCTCCTCAGAACAAACTCACATCCACCCCACCCAAAAACCTGAGCCTCTGGGCACAACAGAGGATGTTCGTCATGTAAAGAAACATAAGTGTAAATTTTAACCCACCATGCGTCTGCAGTTCAGCATGAGAAAATCAGTTTAGACTCTTCCTTCCACATATGGCAACCAAACAGAAACCATAAGCCAGAACCCCTAAACATACATCACCAAGTAAAAGAGGCCTGAAGATAACACGTTTCATTAAGAACCAGGACTCCAATATTTTGGTGAAGGGATACGCCAAGGCAGAAAAAAATGGTCTACAAACACAAAAGTAAACAAGCGATTGTATTGTTCCACCCCTACTCAAAAAGGACCAGACCCATTCTCTTGCACTTACCAACACAGCGTCTGAGTCATGCCAAAAGCGCCAGAGAATCCAGAACCACATGACTGCGCTGAAGAACTCACCCTGGACCACTTGGGACCTGGTCAGCTGTGGAAACTGTCTGTACCGGGGCTCTATATGCACACCGCCACCAGCACTAGGAGACAAAATGGTATGGGAAATGGCTTGCTGCACTTTCAAAGTAGTCAGTCATCCGAAACTGACTCACATCCTTGAAACTAGAGCTAACAATTCTCTCCTCAACCAAAAACGACAATGACAGATGTTCACAATCCCTTGACTTGTTTTTTGTTTAGCTTGCTTTAAAGGTCCATAGCAGCAAAAACTGGCCTCAACTGACAAGAAGCTAGCTGTAGTTTCCATTTAGTGAATATTCATTAGTTTGCACCAGAAATAAGGATATGAATGTGTTCATCGGGTTACTGCACTGCAAGCCTGGGGGTCATTAACTCACCCCACACACACAATCAACAAACCTTCTTCTGTTAGCCAGCTATTTCAGAGGCAACGTTTGTCCCTTGCCCTATTACAATCCCTTTGTGGGAGGGAAGGGTGTGGGTAACTGGGATTTAAACTTGGACTTGCACTTGCTAGGTGTGACCCCAGCCCTTTTTTACTTTAGTTCGTTTGTTCAGATAGTCTCTCACAGTTTTGCCTGGTGTTGACCTTAGGCCTCAATCCTCCTGCCTCAAGACTCCCAAGTAGCTGGGATTACATGCTTGTGACACCATGCCCAGCTTGTTTCTGAGATAGGGTTCACTAAATCTTTGCCTGGACTGACCTCAACAAAGACAATTTGTTTTTTGTTTTTTGTTTTTTAAATGGGACTGGGGTTTAAACTCAGGGCTTCGTGCTTGCAAAGAAGACACTTTACCAACTACATTTTGCTATGGCTAGTTTGGAGATGGGATTTCAAGAACTATTTGGGCTGGCCTCCACCCAAGATCCTCCAAATCTCAGCCTCCCAAGTAGCTAGGATTACAGGCCTGAGCCATGCACCTAGCTGGAACAAAGACAATTCTTAATTGTAATTCTGATCAGCATGACAAAACTGTTAGCACACTAGTGATATGATCCCATTTTGTGTAAATATTCAATATATAAAAGAGTTTTATTTGGAAGGCTCTGTACGAAATACTAATAGTTGTGGGTAAAATACTAATAGTTGAGGTGGTTTTTAATTTTTATGCAGATGTGTATATATACATGCATGTCTTTTTTTTTTTTAGAATGACCACATACACTTTTAAAAGGTTCCATAAAGCACTGCTGCTTTTCAACTTGAAGAATATATCATACTGCTCTGTAATGTCCTCATATACCAACTGTATTTAACAGCATGTGCTGGGACCTATCTGTGCACAAAGATACCGCCTTATGTTTTAAAAAATGGGATAATTTAACATATCTTAACAACAGGCTTCCTCTTTGATAGGTTTTAGCTACAATCTAGGTGTATCAGTAAAACTCATTAAAATAAGCTTTGTTTAGAGCTAGGATTATAGTTCAAAACCATCCTGGCCACTCTCCACATTTCATTATTGCTAGAGTGACATATTGTTTTAACTATGACCTGAAGATAAGTGAGTCATTGGCTGCAAAATGGAAAAGTTTTTGAACAAAGATTTGAAAGACCAAAATTTTAGAAAAGAATACATGACAACAATTGTCAAGATTACAGAATGCAAAAATTCAACAAACACCTAAATTGACTGCTAACGTTCCAAACCCGGTTAACTGCACTGGGCAAACTAGATTCCCTGGGCAACCTAACAAATTTTTAAAAGTATAACGCTAAGAGAATTTTTAACAATTGTTTTCAAACATCAAAGTCAGCTTGGATGGGTGGCGCCTCAAGAGAATACGAGAAGCACTACCGCAAAACATTCTGGCCGGTGCAATTTCCAGGGAAAACGTGCTCACGGTCAAAAATTACACCACTCTGAGTGAGGCCCGTAGGGAGGAAATGAAGATGGGCAAGAAACGACATTCGAGGAAAGAGCGGCTGTTCGACCGAGGATTTCTAAGTGTCAAGTTTAAAAGCGAAAACGCACCATCACCGTCCAGGCAACATGTTTCAAACATAATCGGACTCACTGCTTTCCTGCCATCTGCCTCCAACGGCTGCCCCTGCCCCTAGGTACAGTCCTAGTCCTCTCTCAGCTCATCTCTGCCACCCTCTGCTCGCTCGCCTACGCCTGCCGCCTCTGCCGGCTGCCTTGTCCTCAGATTCCAATTCCCACACCTCCGCCCACTGCGGAACCAACCGAGCCCCGGCGCCGCGCGCGGCCCGGCGAACCACAACACCCAGCATGCCTTGGGAGCAGACGGCCGCGGGGACGAGCGCCCGCCCCGCCCCGCCCCGCCCCGCCGCCTCAAGGTGAGGGCGTCCGAAGCTTTCCGTGAGAGCCGGCGGAGCTCTACCCGCAGCCCGACACTCACTGACGGACTCCACCGCCTCCGGCCGCCCGCGCGCGGCACCCTCGGAAGACACGGCCTCCAACGCGAGTGAAAGGCGCCAGCCGAGTTAGAGCCGACATGCTGTCCGCGTCCGCACAGCCCGGCCAGGACGCCCCGCCCCCTGCTTACGTCACTTCCCTGAGCCCGGCTCCCGTGACGTCGCGGCGTCGCCCTTCTCTGCTAGGGCTGACTGAGGGCCACACGCACAGAGCGCGGGTTGGCGGAGGCTCTCGTCACACCGGCAAACGAGCTGGGGCTGCCTCGGCACTCGGCTTGGCCGGGAGCTGGTCCTCTGTTACGCCTGGGCGGAGAAGCCGTCTCCAGAACGCGGCGGAGCGGAACCGTGCGGCGTGCGAGCTTCGGCGTCCTCCCCGCGACGGTCCCCTGCGCTCGTCTGCTCCAAGAGGCTCCTGCCGCTCTTCGTAAAGTCGCATGGCTTCAGTGTCTGCAAACCTGATGGCTGACCAGCAGTCGGTGTCAGAACGAGGACGGGTGAGATCAGAGTCACCTGAGCAGCCCAGCCCCAGGTACTCAAATTATGTCTTCGTCGGGCCTAGGAACCTGCTTCGGGTCGGCTCCTAGTCCCTTGGTCCTTAACCAGCATCGGATTCTTGGTTTCTGTCTTGTTGGATTTTTTTTTTAATGGTGGTTATTTTTTGTTTTGAGATGAGCCCACTGTGTTGCCCAGGCTGGTCTTGAACTTGTGAGCTCAAGTTGAGCTGAAAACGGGCAGGCAGCAAGCAGCTGCACTTCTGGCAGTAAAGAGGCAGAAAACCAGGGAGCTACAGGCGGTGGGTTAAGACAAGGGAACCACCGATATGGTGACATCTGATCGTGAGCCTCATCATACCTCCTATATAGCATAGTAAAATCTCGGGGTGGTGGGGCCGGAAGAAATATAGGCACAGTCTGAGCCCCACTCAAAGTAGCACCATTTGCACTGAAGGACTCCTCAAAAAGCATGAATATTCGAAACCTTTCCGAGAAAAACCATGAATCTTCAAACCCTTCCCATAAAGTAAAGTGTACATTTCTGCCTGGGACTACTACCCCATCTATGGGGTAACCTGTTGTACTTTTTTTTTCTGTAATAAGCTCTCACTTTTTTCACTTAAGAACTAGTCTGTGTCGGATTTCTACCCTATAGGAGACAAAGGACCCACTTAGCAGGTGACAGTGATTCTCCAGCGCAGTCTCCCCAGCAGCTGAGACTTCAGGTGCACACCACCATGCCCAGCTGGTTTTTTGCCCCTTAATATTACCTTCTTTCCAATTCTGGATGTACTTCAAGCCTCTCTGTACACTCCTTCTGCCCCAGAATTTTTAAGGTCTCCCATCAAGGGTTATAGTTTTTCTCAGAACCTTCAGGTTTGATTAAATTATAAAGTTGGCCTGCCAACCTTACACCTCGGCGATCTCATTTTGAACTAGATCTGCTAAGTTCCATGTGTTTCACACTGTTGTGGCATGAGAAATAGGATACTTAGGAAGGGAAATAATTGACCTGCATTTAGGAATTTGACCACATTGAATGCGATTGATAACCTTCCTCGTATACCATCTATGGACACCATGTGCCCTCTGTGTGTAGCAGAAAACCGCTGTCCCAGGAATTAAGAGCACAGAAAACTCATGATTGCTGAGCCATCCCAGATGCTTGTGCAGGAAACAGTGGCCACTCCTTTGCTAGTTGTCCTTTTGTTGCATGTCCCTACTCCTTTGCCCTTTGTCCCTTCTCCTTAGCCCAGCATTCTAAATTCTGTCTATAAAGATAAGCCTAAATGGTCGTTACCTGCCAAATAATTTTATTTTATTTATTTTTTTTTTTTGTGGCTCAGGGCCTATGTACACCTTGAGCCGCTCCCACTAGCCCTATTTTTGTGATATGTTTTTTCAAGATGGGGTCTCACAAACTGTTTGCCTGGGCTGGCTTCCAATTAATATCCTCCTGAGCTCTGCCTCATGAGTAGCTAGAATTACAGGCGTGAGCCACCAGCACCCAGATCCAAATTATGTTTATATTTGCAGAACCTAGAGCATCTGATGACATCTAAATGTGTAATATCCCATCCCATTCCCCCCTCCCCCTTAGCCTTTGGTTCTGTGCATCAACTAACACAAAGCATGGAAATTGCTGGGAGACTGCTTGAAGAAAAGTACTATGTCTATTTTAAGAAAATACAGGATTTAACTTGAGATTGCTGATATTCCCAGCAAAGCCAAAAAAAAAGGAGACCCCACCTGGCTGACAAGGATCCACTCAGCCAACAGTCTTCCTGTCATTGTCCCCTGCACCTCCTTTCCCTCCCTATGAAAGATCTTTGTACCCTTGAGTTCCTCCAAGATGGGACTTTGAGGACAAGAGTCCCTCCATCTTCTCAAAATGTCAACCCTTCAATAAACCTGATTCCTTCCCACAGATCTGTCTCCAGAATATTGGCATTTGAGTGTTGAGCAGACCAGACTTGGATCTGGTAACATGAACAGCCTTGGGTTGACCCCCTGATCCTACAGGATTCTATCCCTCTGTTCTTCCTGTCCTTTTAACTTCTAAGTGGTATATAAATTAGAAGAAGGCCTTCACTATTTTCTGTATGAAAACTGACTTTGCAATTTATATGCAGTAGAGCACTATTTCTGGGCAGCCATTCACTAGTTACTCTTTCTAGTGATCTGTACAAACCACTAAGATAAAATGTCCATGAACTGGGAGGACCAGGGGCTGTTACTCCTTCCTGTGGAACTCATCTCTCAAGCTACCCAGCTGCCTGGCTCCAAGCAAGGCTACAGAACACACACAGCTTCCATTTTAAAAGAGCACAGAAATTGGGAGCCTGAAGATCTGGCATTCACCTCAGCAATACCAATTAAGTATGAATCTGGACAAGTCACTTTACCCTGCTGAGTACCAGTGTCCCAGTTGTGCATGTGAATCATTTAAGAAAGTATCTGGGGCTGGTGGAGTGGCTCAAGTGGTAGAGCGCCTGCCTAGCAAGTATGAGGCCCTGAGTTCAAACCCCAGTGCTGCCAAGGGGGGAAAAAAAAATAGTATCTGGCCACAACATGTTCTCAGGAAATTTTTACTTTTTTTAAAGTGATAGTTAAGTTTATAAGGAAAGAAATACACTTTTAATAGACTGAAAGTGGGTCATCTCTAGAGAGAATGAGGATGACCTTATTTTTTTAAGTGGGACTAGATTTTTAATTCAGAGCTTCAGCTTACAAAGCTGCTGCTCACAAAGCCTGTGCTCTACCACTTGAGCCACACCTCCAGTCCATTCTACTCTAATTATTTTGGAGATGGGGTCTCTCCATCTCCAAACCTCCTCAAACCATCTCCAAACTGTCCTCAAACCTCAATCCTCCTGATCTCAGCTTCCCAAGTAGCTAGGATTACAGGCATGAAGCCACTGGCACCTGGCTTGATCAGGAAATTTTTATTTGTTATCCCTTCCTTTCCTAGTAACAAAGTAATTCAGGTGAATTCAAGTTCATTCACACTCCCATCTTCCTAAATTACCAAAAAGAGCAGGAGTTGTTGACATACATGATGTTTATCTAATTTCCTACTCGAAAGGCTTACTAGATCTGCCTCTCTCTGAGCCTCGAAGAGAATAAAGGAAGTTGTTGTTCCATGGCTTTAGCAACACTAGAATGAGCCCCGTGCTTTCTACTTCAGGGGCTCAGTCATGACCTCTCTTTGGGACAGGTGCTGTACTGACAATATTACCAGCTTATACGTGAGGAAGCAGCTTTTCCTCCTTAAAAGATGACTTTACCAATCAAATTCAGTTTTTAAGATACTTTCTCTGAATGCCTTTTAAGTGTTTTAAGTTGAAAACACCTTCAGATGCTTATTTTTAAAATCAGCAAAATGTCTTACATCTACTATGATTTTCCCTTCTTCAACAATCCCAATTTTGTGTTCTGTGCTGCTGTAACAGCTCCTGAGGAATGGAAGCCCTATTCCAATATCCTCACAGAGCTACTAGGCATCAGACCCACCAAGAGAAGTTTCCAGATACCACAGCATCAGGAGAAACCCTGGCCAGAGGACCCAACCAGGCCACACCCAGGTTTCTGACTAAGAGACAATAAGTGTTGTGGTTTTCAGCCACAAAGTTTTGTGGTGGTTTGTATGCAATTGTGAAAAACCAATACAAGCCACAAACTGCTCGATTAAATCCACTGGTTTCAGGAAAGGTAGGCACTGGGAGGCATCTGCTCTACTTGTGCCCCTGTTTTATCCCCAGAGGGCAAATGAATGTGTACTTGCCACAAGGAGCCACATGGGTCTGACTGGTGTGCCCCCTTCCAGTCACCTTACCCCTCACTAACTAGATTGCCCTTCTCAAGACCTGAGAAGTAGGTAACTTGAACTGCACCAAGGGCATCTCTGTCCAACTAAACTGTACTTGTTCCCTAAAAGAAACATGTACAACTTTATCCTAAGCAGGGACAGAATGGAAAAATCCAGTCCTGTGGTGAGAGCAGGACTTTGTCCACTCTACAAGCTGACCCCAGATCCTCATAATGTGTGTCAACTGACCATGTTACTTTGGCTCTGAGAGGACAATCTGTGGGTGAAACCAGTGCCAAGGGGCAAGTAATGGCTGCCACCCCTTAGTTCACTTTGAGGTTGTCAATGCATACCAAGAGCCCTTGGTGAGGAGGACATTCTGGTTGTATTAACTATGTATTGAGACTGACCAAAATTAACCCTCACAAATGGACAGAGGCTGAACACAAGATCAGAGACAGGGTCGAACATGACAGAAACTGCAGTCTAAAGTCCAAACATAAATGTACAAGCAAGGGAAGGTTAGGAAAATGGCAGGACAATTGTGCTACCATTCCTGGATGTCAACCACATCAATCCCTGTTTTCTTTTTTTTTTTTTTTTGGTGGTGCTGGGGATCAAACCCAGGGACTTATACATGGTAGGCAAGTGCTCTACCACTGACCTATGCCCCCAGCCCTATTTTGCTTTACCTTGTAGAAAAATTTTAACAAGAATTTGGCAAAAAAATAAAAATTAAAAAAAAAAAAAAAGAATTTGGCTGGAAGTTTGGCTGAAATGGTAGAGAGCCTACCTAGCAAGCACAAAGCCCTGAGTTCAAACCCATAGTACCACCAAAAAAAAAAAAAAAAAGAATTGGGCCAAAAATGTTGAAAATGGTCAAGAAAATAATTTGAAGCCCAGTTAAATTTGCCCTAATTGTATATTATGCCTTGAAAGATTTGCTAATGGAGCTGGGTACTGGTGGTTCACACCTGTAATCCTAGCTACATTGGAGGCTGAGATCAGGAGGATCGTGGTTCAAAGCCAATCCTGGAGTTCTCAAAACTGCATCTCCAAAACAGAGCAAAAAAATGAACTGGCAAGCATGAAGCCTTGAGTTCAAACCCCAGTCCCACCAAAAAAAAGATTTGCTAGCAGTATAGCACCTGTATAGAATTTATAAATGAATTGTGTATTTGTGCACAACTTTTTGCCAGTAAGCATATATAATAAAGAAACTGAAAACTGAGTCTTCAAGATTTTATAACATTTTCTAACCTAAATGACCACTGGCAGGATACACATGAACAGGGAGTGTAGGGGATTTAAAAAAGAGAGAAAAATGGGCTGGGGCATGGCTCAAGTGGTAGAACGCCTGCCCTAGCAAGCAGGAGGCGAATTCAAACTCCAGTACCACACCAAAAACAGGGAGAAACAGTAACAAAACAATGAAGTATATTTGTATCCTCTTTGGGAGGACACTTTCCCTGAAGGTGTCCCCAGCACCAGGCCCAGAGTCCCCAACTGCATGGATATCGTCCCTTTCCTGCCCTTTACTACCACATAACCCAAAGCTTTTCACACAAACCCTAATACCAAGTCACATGGAAAGCAGTGTGGTCTCCACACGTCTTGTTTCCAGGTGTTCAGCTGCCACAAGACAGGTCCTTGCAAGCAGCCTTCACTGCATGCCCACTGCCGTGGTCAGAAGTACGATGATGGTCCTTTGAGAAGGAAGGGCTTTGCTACCTCCAGGATGTCCAGCTTGGGGTCCAGTGAGCGACCAAGCCCCTCCAACACCATGATGGCAAACACAATCGAGGCAAAGTTGCTCTCAAGCTTTACCTGGAAGAGAAAAACAGCAATTCTTCTGAAGCCTCTTGACTCAGACAAGTATCCTCGACAGTCCACTGGGCCTCTCTTAACGCTGTCCTTGTGATCTTTACTACCTACCTAAAATTCTTTCCTTAACCCCTCCATTTCCTTCCCTCTCTCCCAGGAACCAGAACAGCCAGGCACGGGTCATGTTAGTCCACTAAGTCCCCTCTGATGTCACCAGGACAAGAGGCACCTCCTCAGGCCACCCTTCAAGTCGGGACTGTACCCCACTCGAGTGTGATTTACATGAATACTGAGCATCGTTAATATGAAATGAGAGAAAGGCATGAAAGTCTGAGTTGGACTATTTATGTTTTAAATACATTTCTACATCTAAATATCACAACACTTAGATTGACCGCATAGACTTGACAGATATACACACTGTGTTTAGAAGGACAGGAAAGCCCTGCTCTGCCTGTGTTGGAAAACAAACCTGCACTTTTCATACAAATGCACAGTGATGAAAAACACTTGCAAAACGGATTTAAGAGAAGTACCTCCCCCACCTGCCAGCTTCCCAGGAAACTTCCCTGACTTGCAGCTCACCTTGTGAGTCATCAGTAACTTAAAGACACTGGAGAGAAGGCTGGAAACGTGAATCTGGAAAACAGGAGAGAGAATTCCAGAACCAGTTCTTCCCCTTCCAAGACCCAGTCCTGCTCCTCCTTTCCTACACTCACCCCTGCTACACTCACACACACCTGTGAAAGGGACTATGGAGAAACTCCAGGAATAACTACTCCCACACAAGCCTCAGAGGCCTGTCCACCCCATCCATCTACCCTCTCACTCCTCCACACAAAAATTCCATCAAGTAAACCAGATGGACAGTGCCAGTAGTCACTCTGGGTACTGAGCTAGTCGTACCAACATTGGCCATGAACATGGGGAAGACAGGCAAGCTGTTAGAACTGTATGTGAAATACACCATGGGCTCTGGATCAGGCCTGAGCAAGAGATTGGGGCTTAAGGCTTGTCCTTGTGCTGCTCTTTCCCTGCATAATCAGCTGTCTCCAAAACAGCTACACCCTGAATGAGAGGGATCCCTGCCACAGCAGCCACTCCAGAAAAACCCAACCCAGGGCCACTCTGGACTTCCTGGGATTTCAATGGCCCTCCCTATGCCTACCGGAAGGTGGGGAGAGAAAAAGGTTTGGTCTTTATCTATCCTGAAATTCCCACCCTCTTGAAAGCTCCCCAAAGAGGCTTCCCTCTTTGTGGAGCAAGGGCAGTAAGCACCCCAACATCTGCCCACCTTTTCCAGGGTGATGGTGTTCTTCCTGGCCTGAGTCACTAGCGTGGCCATCTCATCCTTGAACGCTTCCACGTCCCTGCATTCGTTGGTTCGTGCATGATGCAGGATGAGCTCAGCCACTTGGTGACCCTGGAAGGTACAAAAGAAAAGTGGTTCGGTAAGAGTTAAACAAGCATAAACCACATATTCTGCCAAACTTCCCTTACCTCTTCATTGCTTCCACCTGATTTTTCTGCCAACCTGCTCTTGGGCACCCGTCCTTTTCAACTTCTACCCTCCACTAGGCCTAATAGCCAGCCAGAGTCTTCCAAAGTCTCCCTGTGCTTAGCAGTCAAGACAAAGATGTGTGTGATCCCCTTTGCCCTCCTGAGCCACACAGTGCACAGCCAGGGTTCATGCAGCTCAAGCTCCATCTAGCCCTGCTGACCGCCTGCCTAGCCCAGGCCACCAGGTCTTACCAGCTGGGCTGGAGGGATCAGGCTGTTCTGGCAGGTCTCTTCCTACCAAGCAGAGCTGCCTGCTCCCAGCTGCCTCAAGCCCCGTGCTCCAGCTTGTTTTCTCCCTGCTCCCCCAGGACCCTCTGACCAAAGCACCCCCAGTTTCTGGAAATATTCAACCCCTCCCTGGTGGTCACTCTGAATGCCTTTCACCTCTGACAACACAGCTCCAGGAATTAAGCTCTTCTTCCCTGGGCTATCACCTTTGTCCTCCACCCTAACCGGTATCGAGGACTGGGGCCCCACCAACTACACCAGGTGTTTAGCAGGGGACACATTCCAATTGATGCCAGCCTCCAGCTTTGGTTGGCCCCCTTGGAAGTCCACTAAGCAGGGACTCCCCTGAATTTGGCCTTATCTTTTAAAACCAACACTTTTGTTCCAGGGTCTTTCTCACTGGAGAATTCTTCACCAAGTGTCTAGAGGATCTCTTCAGTCACCCCAGATGTGGCACTTTACCTAGATTCAACAGAAGTTCTGCTGAACACTTTCTCTCTAATGGCTCCCAACCCCCAGAGCCCTCAGTCATGGGGGGAGGTTGAAAAATGACACACATTCCCTACACACCACAGATAACAATGTGTTTGCCCCATGTGGAAGATGAGTTCTCTATAATGTGGCTTTTCTAAAGAGCACAGAGGGGAAACAACTACTACTTGGTCAAGAAGCTAGCATGTCCCCTGCCTGCCTGCATGTTTGCTAACCAAGGAAGAAAAACTACAGGCACACAACACATGGGGAAAGGAGGTGCTCCTTTCCATGGTCACGAACCATCAGCTGCTCAGAAGTGGCCAGAACATTCTACCTGAGGGCCCACAAGGTGACTGTTTGCCCACTATTACTGTCTACCCCACTCCACTTGTGGCTAGCAGCAGATTCTGACAAACATGGGCATTTACAAGAGAAACCAGGGTAAGGACCAGGCTGCATCTGACAGGCAGCTCCCCATGACCTAAAAGAGCCACCCCAGCAGGTCTTACCTGCCCCATCGCCACGGCCAGGAAAACTGCCCGGAAATTCCTCAGGTCAGTGTCCTGCAGCTCGGCCACAATGCCAGCATCCAATAGCACCAGGCGCAGTGGGCGCAGAGCAGGTGCCATGGCCACTACCAGCGTGTCACAGACATCTACCTGCTGCAAGTGCGTCTCCTGGCTTGAGGGAAGTCCCTTGGCACCCTGGACCAGGATGTTCCCAGGGTGAAGGTCCCCATGAACAAAGTTATCCACAAATATCTGGAAAGAGATGGCACCATTCAGGTCACTGTCAATCCTCACCACCTAGCACCACCAAGCCACATGCAGAAAAAACTTTATTGACAGCTTCCAGTGACACTGGCAAAGAGGTATACAGTTAATAAAGCCTTATTTGGATGTTCTCAGTTCAGAATTTGTGCATGGACAAGCTAAGTCAAAGTTTTCAAGAGAAAAAATGTTTTCAAGAGAAAAAATATTTTCAAGGCAAAGAGCAGACCAGACTACATTTCAAAAGACTTATTTTTACTTTATAATTTGACATTTACATTCTAATTTAAAATGATTATCTGGGGGGTGGAGAGGGAGGTGGCCCAAATAATATATACATAGTAAGTACCTGTAAAAATGATAAACATTTTTTAAAAAGAAGTTAATAATAATTATCTATTCATTGTTTTAAAATATCCCCAATATTCAATGTTCCTAAGTTCACAGAACTTCACTTCTTACAAAAGGTTCACACATCAGACTCACTCCATTGCCTCAGCCTGTGCACCAGTGAAGTCTGACAGTGAGGAACAGCAATGGCTACAGGTCTAAGTCTGGCATGCAAAACTGGGTGAGGAGGAAGGAGAGGGCTTTGAAAGTATTGAGCAAGAATGCAAGCCCCAGGGACCGTGCTGGACAGAAGCCAGGCACTGCTTGTGAACAGGAATCTGCTCATGGTGGGTCACCTCGGAAAGCACCAGCACCTTGCACAGGGCCTGAGAGAAGAGCTCAGGGTGCTAGTCCCATACCCCACTCAGACCCTGCCATCCATCCCTTCAACCACTGTCTTCTAACCCAACTTCCAGGAAGATGGGGCCCAGACAATCTAGCTTTTTTCTTTGCTCCATCTGAGCTACTAACAAGGAAAGCCTGGTTATCACACTACTTTCAATGATGATGACCCTCACTATGTCCTGTTTGGATTATCAAACTCATTTCACCCTTATAGCTACCCTGAGAGGAAGATTCCTCTTAACCCCTCAAGAAGAATGAGGAGCCTGAGGGCAGAGATTAAGTGACTGCCCCAGACACCCATCCCTGCCCCAAGCTAGTCAGTGGCACAGCTGAGATCTGGCTGCTGCTTCTATGCATCAAGCTATTAGTGAAAGACCAATCCGCCAATAGCAGCCCCTGTGCGCCTCCATCACCACTGTGGCTAAAACCCTGCCAGGCAACCCTCTTGACTGGTTCTTTTTAGAACCAGAGCAGCCATTTCAACGATCCTTATCCTCTATGAAAACTGTATCTTACCTATCCAACCTCACCTCTTCACCCACCAGGAAATAGAGGCTTCTAAATTCTGTCCCCAACACTATGACTTTCTTTGCCCTGTAGCCCATGGCTTCTCAATTCACTCCTGGGGTAATGGAGGACTGTCTTTTGCACTCTGGGATGTTTGGCAGCATTCGACTCTGCCCAATAGGTGCGAGGAGTGGCCCACCCTCTGCTGTAACAGCCAAGCACGACTCCAGATGTGGCCAGATTCCCCTAGTGCAGCCTTAGGGAGAAGTTCAGGTCCCAGTGCTTGGCCTCCAGGGCTGGCTGCAGGTACCAGGAAGCCAAACCCACCAAAGGCCTCTAAGATGAAGAGATCAACAGATGTTTAAGAATCAAAATTTGCCTCTGACTCCCCTGCATCAGCCTCCCAGCTGGCCTCCCTATCTCCTCTCACCCCTCCAGTCTGGCTCCACACTGCAGTCATGATACTCCTGGCTGGGTCATTTCTCTGCCTCAACTCTTCACCATCTTAATCTGGATAGAGGTTCACTTTTTAAAAACTCACTGAACACCATATTAAGATCTGTACAGCTAATCACAGGTGGTTCATGCCTGTAATCCTGGCTAGTCAGAAGGCAGAGATCAGGAGGATCTCAGTTCAAAGCCAGTCTCAACAAATAATTCTTGAAACCCTTATCTCAAAAAAAGGCTGGTAGAGTGACTCAAGGTGTAGGCCCTGAGTTCAAACCCCAGTACTGCAAAGAAAAAAGAAAAAACATCTGTACAGCCAAGCATAGGTAGCTCATGCCTGTAATCCTACTTAGGAGGCTAAGATCAGGAGAGTCATAGTTTGAGGCTGGCCAAATAGTTCATGAGACCCACATCTCCAAAACAGCCAGAGCAAAGTGGACTGGACATGTGGCTCCAGCAGTAGAGCATCTGCTTTGCAAGCATGAAACCCTGCGTTCAAACCCCAGTCTCACAAAAAGACCCGAAAAGATCTATGCACTTTACTGGACCCGAAAAGATCTATGCGCTTTACTAAATACTGTCATAATGCAATTTTTTTAAAGGGGAGAAAACTCAAAATGAGCTCACTTGCCTTTGGATAAAAGTCTAAACTCTTCCAAAGGTTTCCTAGACCCTTAGTAATCTGTCCCTGTCACCTCCTCAACCTCAGCAATCCCCATTCCTTCCAATGCTTCTTTGAGCCGTACTCATGACATGTTCTCATGTCTCCAAAGCTCTCCATTGTAGCTCACCCTCAGGCCTTGGCACAGGCCATTCTCTTTCCTACCACTTGTCTTTATGCAGGTGGCACACAGATTTCCTTCACATCTAAGACAGAGCCACTGCCTGGATGAACCCCTGGGTGAGGACAGGCCCCTCCAGCTGGGTGCCCTGGACTGACCCCATATGTCATTTGCTTATCCCTTGCTGATTTACTGAACAGTAGATCTATGGACACTGTAATTGCATCTGTTTTGCTCACTGCCTTACGTCCAATACTTAATTCAGCACCTGGCATGCAGCAGGCATGCAATAAATACCGAAGGAATGAATAAAGTAGCATTTAACATACAACACTGTCTCAGCCATTTGTTTAAGCTGGGGGCAGCCTGGGCAGGGATTGGGTCTTGCTCACCATCCTTCCCACAGCACACGCCACAAAGGGCTCAGTGGGAGCTGTGGGACACAGAGCATTTGGTGGGCTCAGCTATCAGCAAACAGACTTTCCCATACATGGCTCACCCTCCACCCCGATGCTGAGCAGTGCCCCAGCACCCTCCCCCGCCCCCTTAGGCAATCTGCCCAGTGCTGACCTGAGCACCCAGACAGCCCAGGAGCTCACCATCTTCAGGAGCATGTGGATCCCCAGCTGTGCGATCTTCCTCTTCAGATCAGTGGGAATTCCTGCCTGCTGGAAGCTAGACACAGGCACACTCTCCTTGAAGAAACCCCAGTGAGAACAGCTTTACCCTGCCGGCCACCCACACCCTGCTTCCCAACTTCATGTGACCCATAGAAGCTGCCTTCCCCCTGATTGGCAGATGAGTCTGCTCTCTTAAACTCCTATGAACCTGTCATCCATACATTGATTTTAGCCTATTTACATTTCCCACCTCTGACATGGGTTCATCAAAAAGAAACGTATGTGCTCCACTATTGGCAAGGAAGAGGTGTTGTGATATCCTGGAAAAAGATAGGAGCAGGTGCCAGAAGAACTAGATTCTGGTCAAAAATCAGCCAATGGGATCACGAATAAGCTGTGACCTTGAGCAGAAAAGTGGAAAGGGATAGGGAAGTCAGAAGTATGGGGAGCTAGCAAACAGATATTTAGCTTAGTTTATTTGTCAAAGCAATCCACTGAGATAGAGCTTCTTCATCCTACTTAATACATCAAAGGAAAGCCCAGAGAGTAAAAGTGGCTCACTCAAGGTCACACAACAAGGATCACTGGGGGTTCATGTTGTCTTCTAGGACCTTATACCACCTCTAAAGGGGAGACAGGTATCTAGAGGACAGCTGAGGTAAACCATGACACAATGCTTATTGAGCAGTTTCTCTGAGTTTGCATTCTCTGGTTTTGTCATTTACTTCCAGGACAATGCCATGAGCAGGAACTATTGCCTCTCTTTTATGGATCACCAGATAACAACATGGCAGAGTTCACAGTACTGCTTCCCCTTCTGCCCCTGCTGGGGATGGAACCCAGGGCCTGGTGCATGTTAGGCAAGCACTCTACCACTGAGCTGCACACCCCCCAGTTTTATAGACAGGAACCATATCCTCCCTTCAGACTAAAAGCCTTAATGGGGGCAGCAGGTATGAAGAAAAGGCATGGCCAGATTCTTACTTCATATGTTTCCACCAAGACATCCCTGGCAACAAAGGGGTGCAGAGGGGTGGGGAATTTCACAGATGTCACATTCTGGAAGTTGCACTGGAAGTGTTCTAGATTCTGAGCTTCATAACGCAGGTCAATCTGGACAAGAAGAGGGGGAAGATTATACAAGGACCATCTCTGAAATGTCAGAGAACTAGCAAGTCACTTGATTCTCCCTGCTTCTTCACCAGTTCACCACCCCATTCCCTTACAGAAGTCTGAGGAAACTTGGAGAGGACACTCTGGGTCAAGTCTGCCCCAAAGATCCCAGAATCTCCACATGAACTCACTCCTCTGAGACCCAGACAGCAGACCCTCTGGTAGGATTTGGGCCACACTACTTCTTGCTATTCCTGTTGTCCACCCTCTTCACACTAGCACACAGAGCTCCCTCCCCACCTCCCCAGTGGATTGACTTCATTGGACTCTGGGGCAGCCAGGTGCTCATGACCAGCCCAGCCATCCAGATCTCTCCTTCCATCACCTCGATGTGCTAAGGCACACAGGCCTGACCCTGCCCTCCAGCCACTGCTCCAAATCTGCCACAGCTGAATGCCCAACCCTGCATTTGCTGACTCAGAGGCTCAACCCCATCTTTATCTTATGTAGATAAACACAATGCTTCACAAATGTACATGTCACCCTTGCACAGGGGCCACACTAATCTTCTCTGTATGGTTCCAATTTTAGAGAATGTGCTGCTGAAATGAGCACCCCCTTTATCAATACATCCATCATTTCTCCCTCCAATCCATCTGCTCATGGCCTCTGCTACCTGCATGGTGAAGTCTACACTTTATGACATCCAGGTGGATCAGTGTGGAGAGAGGAATAGGAGAAGCCTATGAGGACATAAGCACAGTTGTACTCAATATTCTGCAGGCTGAGTTTGGCACAGCCCCAGTTGCAGAATAGGGCAAGAGTAAGATGCAGAGCAGCTGTTTTTCCTAAAATGTTTATGTCAAATAATCTGTAGGCTGAGATTTGGCACAGCCCCAGCCACAGAAGGGAGTGAGGAGATGGAAAGGTGCATCTCAGCTGCTTTTCCTAAGTTGTTTACCGTCAGAGAATAGCAACGCAGGTTTCTCCTGTTACAATGTCATGCCCCTCCCTGACAACTGCTGCTCTACCTCCTTGTCTACCACTGAATATAAAAGACTTGGTGAAGGAGGATGCGAGGCTTTTGGATGGGGGGTGGTTGGCTGAAGGGAAATTGCTGGAAAGAGAATTGCTGAAGACAGGATTTCTGAAGGGGAAAGAACTGCTGAAGGGAAATTGCTAAAGAGGGGTTGATAGAATTGGTTGGCAGCTTGCAAGGGAACTGCCGCTGAATGATGCAGCTGCTGTTGTTTGCCTGTAAGTCTAAGGGCCGAGACTTTAAGAAAGCTAAAGAGAGAACATGGGACAGTGCAAGTCTGATGGGACAGTGCAAGTCTGAGGACAAAGACTTTGAAAGAGATTATGCTAAATAAAGGCTAAGAGAAAACATGGGACAGAGCGAATCTAAGGAAAGAGACTAAAGAACAGAAAAGACTTTTAGAAGCAAGGTTTTAAAGAATTGTAAAGGAGTAAGGCCTTAAAGAATAAAAATAGAGAAAAGAAGCAAAGTTAAAGAAAGTGATTAGAGAAAAGAAGCAACAAGATTGTTGTGTCTTCACCAGAGTGCCCAACACACCTGGCCTCAACTTTCTGCATGTCTATCTGTCTATCCTTTGTCCTTTCTGCATCTTCTGTCACCCCTAGTTAGGCCCAGTTAGGTTCAGTAGTAACAGGAGCGAGAAAAAGCTCACTTCAGATCAGGCTTTGTCCCCTGCTTCTCTGTCCTGGTCTATCTCCTGTGGCACCTCCCTTTTCCTCTACCATCCAACTCCAGCCTCTCCCAACTCCAAAAGCACTAAACATCTCAGCCTGCCTGAAGCCCTGACTCATCCTTGTGTTCCTTCCTGCCAGCCAACCTGTGACTATGATGGCTCCTATAAAAATTCTGGTGACAATTTATTTGCAAGTAGTTAGGTGTCAGCTCCCTGTGCCCACTGAATATTCTTTAAGGGCAAGAAAGGCTCACTTGTTCTCTTAGAGTATCAGCTTCTAACAGTTTTTAATAACTGTTACATGAACTTATAAATGAACAGACACACACACACAACTCTCAGGCATCCACCTGAGAGGGTGGGAGGGAGTACTTAGTATGAAGAGCTGATTTGTAAGACAAATGAGGGGAGACATAGAGACATGTGAGTTTCAAGTGATGGGATCCCCATATGTCTGTCATGCTTCTACAGGGAGTTGACACTGAGAAGAGAGGTAGAACAGAGTCAGAATGCAGAGAGGATTGCTGGAATAGAAACCATTTTCTGTTTTAATTTTCTTTCATTATCAAATCTACACTACTCCATAACACAAAGAAAAGCTTTCCATTCTAGTCTGAATACTTTGTGTGCCCCAAATTCCTATGTTGAAATCCTAACCGCCAAGGTGATGGAATTAGGAGGCAGGGCTTTGGGGAGGTGAGTAGGTGTTAAGGGTGGAGCCTCCTGAATAGTTAGTTAGTGTCCTTATAAAAGAAGCCTGACAGAGTCCCTTGTCCCTGACACCATGCAAACCCACAGTATGAAGGTGCCATCTATGAACAGAAAGCTGAATCTCACTAGTCACTGCATCTGCCAGCACCCTGATCTTTGTCACTAGTCATTGCATCTGCCAACACCCTGATCTTCAACTTTGCCTCCAGAACTGGAAGAAACAAGTTTACTGTCACTGATAAGGTCACAGTTATGGATATTTTGTTACAGCAGCCCAAACAGACTAACATACTTTCTAAACATTAAAATGAATCCTGGAGACTTAAAAACCTTAAGTCAGAGAATATAAATGAGGACATGGCACACAGCTTCTGAAAACATGTCCAAAGCTGTACCATCCAGCAGGGAGCCAGCACAGGTGCCTACTGGAGCCCTGACCACCCCCAAGGTATGTCTGCAAAGAAGCCTATTTATACAAATGTGCTAATGGTTCCTAACAGGAACCTAACCATTAGGGCCTGTCTACCTAATTAGCCCTGGAAAGAAAGCAAAACAAAGGCAAACTGTAACTTGGCTAGACACTCTTCTCACACTGGAGTTCAGTCACTGATTGTGACAAAGCTAGTATCACATGTCCCATCACATTCATCTTATTTTCCTGGCAGGCACAAAGAAAGACTGTACTTCCCAAGGGTCCTCACACTGTGATGAAAGCTCTGATCAGGAGACTAGAAAGAAGTGATGTTTCCTACTTCCACACCTGGCCAAAAAATCTCTTACATGATCCTCATGGTCCCTCCATTCCACACTGACATAGAATGAAGATGGCAGTGCCAAGTTTGGGAGGAAATTAGGTCCCTAAATCACTATGATGCATGAACCCCCATTCTCTCAGTTTATCTGCACATAGCAAGAAATAGCCTTGTTGCATGAAGCTGTTAAGGGACTCAGGTATTCTTTGTTTTATCAGCTAGCATTACCCACTCTGACTTATGCATCACACTCACCATGAAATACTGGGAAACTACTCATTCATTCGACACTTACTAAGTAGCTGTTAACAGCAAAAGCTCTGTTAGGTGCTATTTACAACTACAGGAAGAATTCACCTGCTGGACCATAAGCTTCTCAAATTCCTCCACAATCTCAGGCAAGCTAAGCCATTTGATTCCCGGCAAAAGCCCGAGGGCTCGGCTGCCAATCTTCATCAACAGCAAGTCCATATGCACCTGAGAGAGCAGGCCAGGGTGCAGCACCTGCCAGAAAGAACAGTGAGCCAGGAGGAGGAATCTGGAGGACATATTTTTACCTAGCCAGTGTGGGTTCCACTTTCAAAGGAGCCACGCAGCTTCTCCTCAGACCTAAGAGGAAGTGTCCCAATACCAGGATGCCTGTAGGTGGTTCCTTCACCCCAGCCTCCAAACCCTCATTTTCCTCCATCACACTATTTGCACCACCACTTCCTGAAGTCAAGAAATAAAACAGTTGCACACAACAGGCATTCAAATATTAGTTAAGCTAAAAGAAATAGATTGAACATATTTTTAGCCCAAAACTCTGAGATCCAAAGCTCTGAAACTTCACTTTCTTTTTATGGCATTGAAGTTTGAACTCAGGGCCTCAGTACTTTCTAGGCAGGCACTCTACCACTTGAGCCACATGGTGACAAAATTCCACACTAGACCTCATATGATGGGTTGGAGTTATAACAAGGTTCACTAAAAAGGTTGCATAAAATTACCTTGAAGCTACCTGTTCAAGGTACAGATGAAACATAATGAGTTTTGTGTTTAGATTTGGGTCCTATGGCCAAGGTATATGCAAATACTCCAAAATCTAAAAATATCTGAAATCTGAAACACTTCTGGTCCCGAGCATTCAGATAAGGAACACTCAATGTGTGAATGAAAGATAACGTGGAGGTGACCTGCTTGGGGGTGTTTCTGATTTGAGACAGCTCAGTATGTAGGTGAGATGTGAGCTGTTTGTAGGAGGTAGGAAGGACTGGCTGACAATGGAAGAGCACTTACTTTCACCGCCACTGGGATGAGGTGATCTGGCTCAGGTGGATGGCCAGGGGCCTGAGACACACCTGCATTTGATCCAACCAGGTCAGCTTCAGTGAGGAGCAGCCGTTCTAGAAATGACTGGTCAGCAAGATTTTCTGGAGGCATCCAATCCTTCCTAAGGTGTCCTGGTTCAAAGACCAGATCTCTCAGCCCCCCGAATGCCCCAGCTTCCGAGAACAGCTGCAGGCGGGAGGCCTCCCCAAGTCTCCAGATGCTGTCTTTCCCCAGAGAGGCCGTGCTGGCGAATGCCTTGTACACTTGGGCCACACAGCCTGAACCCACAGGTTCCTGGGTCTCAAAAAAGAGGGTGCTCCCCCAGTCTTCTCCAAATGCCTGCTGAGCAAGTGTTCTGTGTGAGTCCAAGGGTGGGGGGCAACCTGGACATGCAGCTTGGAAAACTGAGCACAGAAGGCTTCCGAAAAGAGGTCGCGCCTGGTGCTGGCCCACTGGCCCAATTTAATGTACGTTGGGCCGGAGGTTTCGGTGGCTTTCAGAAGCAGGTGGAGCCAAAGGGTGGCGAGGCCCGGAGCCAGGTAGGTGAGAGGGTAGAGGAGAAGGAGGGGGAAGAATTTTGCCAAGAGAGCACCAGCTCGGAGCCAGATCCGGAGATGCAGGAAGACGCTGCCCAGCGGTCCTGTTTGGGAGAGCCTCTCCACCCTCCCATTCTCAGCCAGGTCACTCCAGGGGGCCCTACGCTGGCACAAGCTGTCGGGGACCCCCTCACCAACGTCTCCAGAGGCTGAGATGAGCTTGGGCAAACTACCCAGCAGCAGCCAACAGAGTCTGGCATTGCGAGGGCACCCAGAGGGTCTGAGAAGGCCAAGTTCCCGTCTGAGCTCAAAACACCTGAGCTGTGACAAGCAAACCCTGACAGAGAAGCGCCAGGGAGTAACCATCCTCTCCGGAGGCCTAGGCGGCCTGTCCTCGACTTAAGGGGCAGCCATCTGGGGACAGGCTTTGGGCCAGGCGGAGGAGAGTCCACGGCCCAGGCGACGCGGCCGCGCCTCCCGCGTGTAGCCTGAGGCCAGCTGCGCCCCGCTCCGCACCCGGGCGGAGGACTCCCGACCCCCGTGGCGTCAAAGCCGGGCCGTCGGAACCGAACCGAACCGACTGTGAAGCGGCAGGATGTGAGGGCAGGCCCGGGCCGGCGCGGGGACACACAGGGTCACCGCGCGCGGGCGCCGACCTGCGCGCGATGGCGGGAACGCAGGGCGCCCGCCGGGGGCCGCGGGGCCGAGGGGCGGGGCTCCGGGGACCGGCGGGCGACAGGGGGGCACCGGGAGGCACCGAGGTCTGGGGCGATCACCGGGGCGCCGAGAGCCGGGCCGGGGACCTGAGGCGGAGACCGTGGTAGGAGAACGCGGGCAGGTGCAGGGGACAAGGCCCCCGGGCCGTGGGGGAGGACCGGGAGCGAGGACCAGGGCGGCGGCTGGGACGCAGGGGCCGACGTCCGCGCGCCGGGGTGTCCGGGAGCGCCCTCCGGCCCGCAGGAACCGCCCCTTAAAGGGGACGCGCCGCGGACACCCGCAGAGGCTGCCCTGGTCCCGAGTCCCGGAAATCGATTTGTCGCAAACCCAGAAGCACCTTCGGCGACCCCTCGCGCGTCTGTCGCTCCTCTGACAGCCGTGCAGCCTTCTTCCTTACGCGGGCGTGGAAACGCTCAGCCGCGCGATGAACGTGGGGCCGAGTTTCAGCTGCGCGGGGGTGTCCTTGGACGGTCTCAGGATGCACCGTTTTTGGTGTTTGGGACTTTGGGAAGCGGCTCCTTCACTCAATTAATACTGCATGCGATAAATGTAGTATTTGCGGAGTCTCCGTAGTCTGTGTTCAGCTAGGTTATTGCACTGGGCGCTAGGAAGTGGAGACACATGCCACCCTCACAGGCTAATGGCTTGGTGAGGGGGCAAACATAAGCGCAATTCAAAGTTTGGCAAGTCACAAAAGCAATGAAGACTGGGGGCCACTGTAGTATAGGATTGGGCTACTTTGGAAAGGAAAGGAAGACCTGGAAAAGGGGCCAAAAGACTAAAGTCCTAAAATGGGAAGGACTTTGGTGTGAGGTTTGGGGCGGGGGAGGGAGGTTAACTTTGGAGGACTCACGTGAGGTCTGAAGGCCCTGGACCCAGGAAGAGAGCAATGCAACTTGGGAATCAGCCCACACCTCTTAGGAAAAACACGGCACACCGCACACAAAGGAGGCTCAGGAGAGGTGTCTCATGTCCAAAAGTTTAATAAGCAGGCTGGCTGGCCGAGGAAAAAAATGGCACAGCAGCTTTTCTTAGTGGGTCTGGCCTTAAGTAGCATTTGGGAGAAAGCAGGGGCTAGGGACGGGCAAAGACAGGTGGCAGGAGATAAGGGACAGTGGGGCTTTGTTCTGCAAGGGATGAAACCAGCTGCGGCTCAGGCTGCAGAATGGTGGCAAGAGGCAGTTCTTATCATTCCCCCATTTTTTTGTTTAATAATGATGAGGTTAGGGGCTGAGGATCAGGAATTGGGGCAAAGCATTGGTCTCTTTAGCGGCTTCCTGCTGGCAGGGGGCTTATGGGACAGGGTCCTCAGGCTCCTGTGGGATCCTGGATGGGGCCTTCCCAGTTGTTTTTCCAGGCAGTTTTGGAGAGGTTGACATTCCTGGAGGTACAACTGGTTAAACTTTTGATTAGCAGTAGCAGACATGTAGTATGATACAGGGGAGGAAGCTTAAGAATAGGAGAGCAAGAACACAGGCATTAGGATGGGCATTGCCAGGAGAACCACTGTGAAATGTTCCCTCGAGGATTCTAAGTGCCCATTCCTTAAGAGGTGCTGCCACTAGGGGATCCCATTGAGCCTGACAGCAGTGGGTGTTGTGAGAATGACCAGATAAGGGCTGGTCCACTGAAGTCCCAATGAAGAGAGTAGAAGATCCTTTAAGAGAACAAGATCTCCTGGTTTAATAGAAATTGTTATAGGGTGGGGCAGGATCTGGTCTGTATGCTCTTTGAGAAGTTCCCTGAGAAGGTTAAGATAAGGTAGTAGTCAGCCAGAGGAGCAGAGTCTGTTGGAGGCAAGTTTTCTAAGAGAAATGGGTGGCCGTATGTTATTTAAGATCCAAACAGGAATATTAGGAGGAGCATAAAAGGTGTCTTGCTAAGGGACTGCATACCTAGGGGTCTAAATTCTGCAAAATACTGTAACTCCCAAACTTGCTGTAAGCTGTCTTATGGTATGGGGGGAGGGAAACGGAAGATTGGGTTAATGCACTCATGACTCAGGGAGTGAGTCTGTCCCTTTAAGAACACACCTAGGTAGGTGACCTGAGGGAGACATAATTGAGCCTTCTCCTTAGAGACGTTGTATTCTCGGAGGCCAGAAAGTTTTAACAGGGACTCAGTTGCATTGCAGATAAGGGACTCTGTGGCTCTGCATTGAAGAAGGGTGGCCTCTGGGTAGTGCCAATCTAAGAAGTCTCTGGTTAGGGCCTGTCCACAAAGATGAGGGCTGTCTTTAAATTTTTGTGGCAAGACTGACCAGGTTAGTTGTTATGAAGGGTTTGTGGGACCTTTAAAGGCACATGGAGGCTGACTGTCAGAATGCAGGTTAAATGTAACACTTTTGGATAAAAGAGAGATTTAGCTCATCATTTTACATAAACTGACCCTTTTAACTCTGTAAACGTTTGTACCATATTTAGATAAAGTCTAGACACCAAACTCAGTCATAAGGTGGTCATTTAAGAGACCTTTGCATGAGCAAATATGTAAATGAACTCTGATTTAGTAGTAGTACTTAAAGTGTGACAAAATCAGCAGAAAACACAAATAATTTCTTTGATAAAGTCTTTTTCTGTAGCAGTTTTTTGTAGCTGTTACTCAAAGCAGAACAATATTAAGATAACCTTGTTATTTTATAGACATAGAGAATTTGATTTTAGTTTGATATGACCCTAAAAATCTTTTAGGCAACTCTTAGATTATAGTCAACTTTAACTTTATTATACATTGAAGCTTTTTATTATACACTTTTAAAACTTACTCAGACCTTTATATAACATATTAAACCCTTTGATGGCTTGTCTTTATCCCTCCTATTTGAAACAATCTTTAGGATAAACCCTTCTTTATAAAATCCTTTCTCATCCAAAAACATTTTTTTCCTTTAACATCTCAAAAAATACATTTATTATCTATCTATATCCTTTTTAGTTATTTACTTTGTAACTTGTATTTTAAAATTAACTTTTATAAGAATATAAGAATTTTGAATTTATTATATAGACTGGAGTAACTAATTAGTAGCCCTTGGTGTTCTAAGGAATTTATGATAGGCATAAGGCCTCATGTCCCTCAGGCTTGATATTGTTTTGGGTGTGGAAACTGTGAGGGATTTTTGAGTTTTATTTGAATAGGGAGGGCCATCCAGGCTCCATCTCATCAAACCACATTGTGGGATCTATTTGTTTCTGAAGAGGGGGCAGCAGAGATAGCTGCCTGGGGAGGAGAATTTGAGTTTTTAGTTGTAATAGTAAATTTTGTCCCAGCAGGGACACTGGAGTTTTAGGTACTATGAGGAAAGAGTGACAGAAGAGGAGGTCTCCCCAAGAGCAGGCCAGAGGCCAGGTAAACTAGCACTCTAGGGGCTGGCCAGATTTGCCCTGAATGATAGGCTTGTCATTGGACTGGGGACCAGGAGAGAAAGATAAGACAGAGAAATGAGCTCCACTGTTTAGCTGGAAAATGATCTTTTTTTTTTGTCATAATGGCTACCATGAGGCTCCTCAACATTGATGCCAAGAACTGGAGTGTGGACAGGAGGCCAGGACCCATCAATCCATAGGAGGTGGCACCTTGCCTTCCATCTGGAGCCGGGGGCACTTTGACCTCCAGTGGTTACCTTTGAGAGAGGGCAGGGTCCTGGCTGGGGGCGGGGCTGTCTCCCAGGCTGTCCCCCCTTAAGCATTCTCTGCAGAAATGTCCTTCCTGTCCACCATGGTAGCAAACTTGAGATGTAGGCCCCAGTCGGGTGGGGGCAGCAATGAGGTCATATCTCTTATCTTTCTCTCTGTTAGTAATGTCCTGGTTATAATATATAGATATGGATAGTTGTATTAGTTGATCCAATGACTTTTCTCCTTCAGCCATAGACTGAGTTTTTTATAAATATTAGGGTCTGACTGTTAGAAATTTATCTGAGAAGAACCTCTCTCACCTGTGACTCTGGGTCCATCGTGGCATGCTTTCTGTTAGACTCCTTAAGATGTTGTAGAAAGGTAAAGGGATTTTCTTCAGGGCATTGCTGTGAAGCAAAGTTGTTATTTCACATTGACACCTGACACTCGGGAGAGCAGGTCTCTGAACTGTTCTGGACCTCAGTTTCCTCATCTGAAGAATGAGGGATCTGGTCTAGGTTAAACTACTTTCTTCCATTATGAGATGGCTGAAGTGACATTAGTGACAGTTATCTTTCTACTATTTTTTTTTTTTGATTTAGCAATGTTGGGGAATTGAACCAGGGCTTTGCATATGCTAGGCAGACATTTTCCCATTGAGCTACTTTTTTAGCCCCAATTTTTTTTTTGTCATTGGCTGTGCTGGATTGGAACTCAGGGCTTTATGCCTGCAAATTGGCACTCTACTGTTTGAGTTATATCATTAGTCCCTTTTAGTGTGGATCAGTTAAGGGGACTGTCTGTGCCCCTGTAGGTAGGTGTATTTATTTCCTCATTTCTAGGTGTCACTAGTATTGAGGTTTATTGTAAATGGTAATCATTTTTAACCTGAATGGCCTGGGCCAGAACCCATTGTTTTTCTAATGAGAAAAGAGTCTGCTCTAGTAGAAGCATAGTATCCTTTCATGTCAGTTGAAAGGTTTGGATCACAGAAATAAAGCTTGGATGTATTTGTCTGGGCATCAGTATAGCTGTCCAGATGTTTTTAAATTTCCCTTAGAAGGGGACATAAGACTTGCCCTCTTCCTACCATTGCCTGTTGAAGGGTGAAGCACCCATTAGGACGTTTTGAATATTAGGGTGGCTTAGAAGGTAGGGCAGAGGGTGCAGCAGTGGGGGTGGCCTTGTCATTGATAGGGGCTTTTCTGGTCCTCCTTTCCATGTTTATCCTGTGGCTTACAAAGAGTGGCCAGTGTTTGAGTATCTAAATAGCAATTGTGGAGCCAATCTGAGATGAAAGAAAATTTGTATGGGGACCTCAGTTTACTTTTTTTCCTTTTATAGAAAATGTCTAATTGGAGTATGGTATTGTAATTTAAGGAACCCTGTGAAGGCCTCTTCTCTTGGTCACCCAAGGCATATTAAGGCCAGGCCTCAGTACAAAGCTTTTAACATCTACAAGCCAGAGGACTGCAAGGTGCAGGTCCCATCTAGAAAGAACAAAACGTTAGGACCC